TCACCACGTTCGCATACTCCGTCACCAAAGGATACACCGGAACTTCGGGCTCTCAAGGTTCTCAGAACTCAAGCACGGCTGCCTCTGCCTGCTCACCTTTTCTAGACGTCCTCGTCCAAGACAGAGGAGAAGTTTTGTTTACCTCTCAAGTGGCCTCAGGTCTTAAAAGCACCATCTCGGCAACCTTTTCAGCCTTGAGGTTGGCCAGGTTAGAATCGACCGTCATTTCCTCGAGGTTCAGTACCTCGGCAATCTCTGGCAACGGTTCCAAGTAGACACCAGATGCCTTGACGAGTAAACCGGTCTCGCCATCGAAGATGTGATAACACGCTTCCACTGACCGTGTCGGAGGATCCCGGGCCCTGGACGCCGAGGTTTTTTAAGCGACATCGATCTGAACGAGGTTCAGATCCGACTCCGGCGGCGTCGTCGTCGTCGACGGCGACCGTGACGTGGAACTTCGTTACCCACGTCTAAGGATGTCATAGCGCCGACATTCGAGGCACTCGAGACCTCGAGTGGTACTATGTTACCCACCCAGGAAGCGCACTCTGCGTCTTCCTCTTCAGGATGGTCTGGGCGACCGCGTGTGGCACTGTGTTATCCACACAGGAAGCGTACCCGATGGCTTCCTCTTCAGTTAAGGTCTGAAGTCCGTGTGTGGAACGCTGGTACCCACCTCGTGTACGCTATTACCAGCGTTCGAGACAGCTGCGGCTGTCTGCGGAGCTATGTTACCCGCTTGTGGACCTAAGTTACCCACCTAGCCAGCATCCCCTGTGGGCGCCGCCACAATCGAAGCGTCCTTAAAGTCGTCACGTACGTCGACGACTCCCAAGCATCTGCTGGATGCTTCGGTACCCTGGCAACCCTTGCGGGCGCCTCGAGTCCTGACAGAGGTGGAAACATGACTTAACAATGCTCTGTCGGACTTCGCAGAGCGGCTGGCACCGATTGCCTTGCCTCGCCAGTCGATCCAGAGCTCGTGCCTCTCAAGCCAGCGCATACCCAGGATAATATCGTAGGGAACCATGTTGAGAGCAGAAAACCGTTCTAGGCTGTCAAATTCTTCAAACTTGACGGCCTGATCCACTTGGACGTTGGGGACAGTGACGAGCTCCCCGTCGGCCACTCGCACTGACACCGTACCGTTGCCCATGCTCTCTCTTAAAGCATTGAACAACTTGTTCGCATTACGAGCAACCGTCTAGCGGCGTGCGAAATTCTTCGACGCCCCAGAATGGAGCAATAATTTTAAGGAATGATCGTATCTCCGTACACATCCGTGTACTACGAGCAGCCCGCCACTGCTATTCGCCGGTTCGAGAGTGCGAAGACTCTCGGAAGCTAAGTCCCCGTGGTGCGCGCCACCCGCGCAGCCCTGACGAAGACTTAGTTCTCCCTCACTAGGGCATCCCGCCCGTACTGGTCTCCGGCGTTCCCCTGTCTCCGGGATCCTGGCTTCTGCCAGCGACCCTTGAGGACGACAAGAGCTGTTTTAACGCCGTTTAATCAAGTGCAGACAAAGGGGCGATCTGACAGAGGCAGCTTCAGCTTTTACATCGAATCCGTATAGAAATGGTGTTTGGATTACTCGCCAAAAAGTGGAGAAGTTTATCTAAATCTCTTTGTGTTCGACACGCAAACTATCCCCACCTGATCCACGCTTGCTTTCGTCTGCAAAACGTTTGCATTTACCAACATGCAACCGAGATCCCCGCTGGTGCACGAAAATCCATCAAAGCAATGCGCAAGGAGCTGCGTACATGGAATGGAAGCCGCGATTTATCCTACGCTCACATGCACTTTGAAACAGAAGGGGGTGAGTCGGTGGAGCTAAAGGACGAGGTGACTCCAATCGTTGGCATGCAGCACATTGAAGCAAACAACTTGCACCGACCAATTTATAATATCGCTCGACGTCAAGATTCCGATACCTAATTGCAATATGATAATGTGATGCCCAATCCAATGAAGTAGATCTTATTATTCGTATTGTGTGTGGATTCATTCGTTTATCAGTCTTGTTTTACTGTAGTGTGTGGCAAGCAAGGAGGCGTACCTCAACGGCAAGGAGGCTATCCTGAATCAAGAACCCCATCCCAAACTACAGCGTCGTCTATCAACATGAGGTTGCAGTCTTACTGCAACCCTGGTGCTCGACTCTCAAGGCTGTGCCTAGGGTGAAGCCTTTGGTCCTGATAGGAGTAGGAGGAGTCGAGTAGAACGCAGGAGCAGGAGTTAGTCAAAAGGAAGCTCACTTCTTAACTTGCAATCAACAAGCACCAGCATTTCAGCAACGCAAAGCGGTAACTACCACAAAGTATACTTTAGTCCTAAGGGACCGCAAGCATGGCAACCAAGTCACATCAGTACGAAGCTGATGGGGACACAGTGATGAAGTCTGTAAATCAACCGGTATTCGAGTTCGTCAAGGCGCCGTGGTTGAACGACTGGAGTCATGATGCATTGGTCAAATGGAACCAAGCACGTGACCAGTACGAGGAAACTATTCGGCAACGCTGTTTTGAGAGTCGTGAACGACCCGAGACCGTGATGAAACCAGTAAAATCCTCAATCGACCGGAAGTTGCTGGAGGTGGTATGCCTCTACGAGTTACGGAAGGCTGTGGATAACGTCAGCAGTGAGGAGCTCCTCATGCTGATTAAGCAGCGCATTGGTACTGTAAAGAACGAGCAGATCCCCGACTTGGACGAGTTGTTCAAGAAGAAGCTGAAGATCGACTTGGCAGAAGATGATATCGATGCTCGTGTACTACGCTACTACCATTATTGAGAACCATGGTTTAGGAAAAATACTTGGTGTCGGAGACCCAGATGCAGAGGGTTTTGCTGATCGTATGAAGTTACGATGCACCATCTTGATCGACAACCTTGAGCCTCGTATGGTACGTGATGATGTCAAGCGACATTGCAAGTATGAGTGCAGAGAGGCGAAGAGAAACGATTTCATGCTCTTTAACATCATTAAAGAGAAGGCACGGGCTCAGCACAAGTATCACTTACTGTCGATGGAGCACAGGTCCAAATCTGGACCTAACCGAAGGTCTAGCCATAATGAAACGAAGACTAAAACCGGTAGTGGAGAACAGCATACTGCTGTGGAAGCCCGTAGAGACGGCACTCAGCGGAATTCATTAACGACTAATACTGGGTCTCAACCCCAGAGAAAGGAGTCAAAGCCACCCAAGACTGGCTGCTGGGTCTGTCAAGGCTCGCATTGGCTTCGTGACTGTCCGACAGCGACGGATGACGACAAGAGACGTGCTGTCGACAAGATGAAGGAAATAAAGGACCGGTCACGAGTAAAGGTGGTTCGGACTTTGCCTCAACCAGGGGAAGTGATGATCAACGAGCTCGTGGTCTTGCCGTATTGTGCTGACTCAGGATCTGACTCAACTGTTATCCCTCGTGCAGTGGTCGACGAGTTAGTTGCACTTGGTAGCGGTGTGGAGATGCATGTCCTACCCTCTCCAATTGAGGCTATCGTTGCTGGAGGTTCTACAGTTACCTGTTTTGACTCTGTTACGGTGGATGTCGTGCTGCAAACGGCAGCGGGTACTGTGAAGCTACCTGACGTGACCTGTTTGGTTATGGAGGGTGAAGAGACCGATTTTCTTCTTGGTAACGACACGCTCGTCTCACTCGGAATTGATGTAAACCAGCAACTTGAACAGCTGGCTGGGGGTTCACTTAGTGAAGATGTGGACCCATTTGAAGACGATGGATGTGCAGATCTCGAGCTTTCTGGTTTGGAAGTTCGCAGTAAATTGGAAGATATGGTGGTCGCAGCTGGGAATAATGGTTTTGACGCTGACTATCTCTCTTTTCTTCACGATACCGTGCTGGAGTATGAGGATATTTTTCGGATTGACCTGGGTGCTGGTCCCCCTGCCGACATTGAACCACTGCGAATTCAGTTGGTGGACGGAGCTGTGCCTTTTAGAGCGCGTTCACGGCGCTATGCCAAAGCCCAACGCATTTTCCTTCGGGACTACACGAAGCGGCTCGAGCTGATGGGCTTTATTCGACAAAATAACCAAAGTCATTGGGCATGTGCAGCTGTGCCTGTGGCAAAACCCAAGTCACCAGGTGATTTCCGGATGACAGTCGACTATCGCCCTGTAAATGCACTGACCATACCGATCGCTGGAGCAGCCCAGGATGTGACGGATTCTGCCGACGAAGCGGCCGGAGCTTACGGTTTCGCGGATTTCGACATGCCAAAGGGATTCTGGCAGCTTCCTCTACATCCTGACAGCCAGGAAATGATGAGTTTTGTTACGACCGATACGGTATGGACACCTACGCGCGTTCCACAGGGAGCGAGTGATTCGGCAACGCATTTTCAGAACGAGATGCAAAAGGTTTTTGCCGGGATGCTGTACGCCCACCTACTTGTGTGGATTGACGATATTCTCGTCTATGCGGACGATGCGCCTACGTTTATCGCTACACTTCGTGAATTCTTTTCTATTGTCCGCACTCACCGGCTGAAACTCAGCGTGAGTAAGAGTTGTTTGTTTCAGAAGGAGATCCGTTGGTGTGGCCGCATCTTCAGTGGCACTGGCATTCGCCATGACCCTGAACGCATCAGTGCGTTGCAAGCCCTTCCTCTCCCTACTACAGCCGCTGACCTCCAACAATTTTTGTGTGCTGCTGGGTGGATGCGCGATACGTTGCTCGACTTTGGCCGCACCATGCGCCCGTTGCATGACAAGTTGGAGGCGGTTTTGAGTGTTAATGGGCGAGCTAAGAAACTAGCAGCCGGGGTGTTTCTTTCGTGGACTTTGGACGAAGAAGACGTGTTCAACTCCGCAAAAACCCTGCTTGGATCCTCGCAACTGTTGCATTTTCCGACGACGTCGTCCACAGTGGCCGTGTTTAGTGACGCCAGTGAACTGGGGTGGGGGCTCGTCGTGACTCAAGTGGATGACTGGGACTCTGCATTACCTGCTAACGAGCAGCAGCACCAACTTCTAGTATGCAAAAGCGGAATTTTCGACGAGACGGAACGTCGGTGGAGCATCATTGAGAAGGAAGCGTACCCGATCATTTGGGCTGCCCGCAACCTGGGCCATCTTCTCGTCCGCCCTTCAGGCTTCAGGCTGTTCTGCGACCACAAGAACCTGATCTACGTTTTCGCACCAACACACGAAGTTAAACGTCACGTGCGTGGCAAATTACAACGGTGGGCGTTATCTCTCACTGGTCTTCACTACCAAATCGACCACATCGATGGTACGGCGAACGTGTGGGCCGATCTACTCTCGCGGTGGGGCTCTTGTGGTGAGGCAGGGGTGCACGTGAGGTGCAAATTCGTCACGCGTAGCCAGCAACGCATTGACGACGCGACTGAACGCCAACTTGACGAGCTGCGTCCGCGTCAAGGCGACTTTGTCTTTCCGACCTTGAATGAGATCAGCCAAGTGCAACACCAACACAAGCGGAATGCACCCAGAGCAACGGTGTGCGATCACAATGGCATCATGACTGTCGACGGAAAAATATGGATACCAGAGTCCGTGAAGGAGCTACGACAGCGCATTCTCATTGTGGCTCATTGCGGTAGTCAAGGACACCGTGGACTTGACGCGATGATGACTACAGTCAAAGACCTTTTCTTGATCAAAGGCCTGGAACAACATTGCCGGCAATTCCTGAAACGATGCCTTCTCTGCAAACACGTGAAAGGTGGTAATGTGATTCCTCGCCCCTGGGGGCCTACATACGACGCATCTGAGCGAAACGAGATGCTCCACTGGGATTTTCTTTTTCTTGGTGACAGTGTGGGTGAATGCAAGTACCTACTCGTAATGAAGGACGGCCTTACTCATTTTTGTGAATTGGTGGCTTGCGATTCGCCAACAAGTGTCGTGGCAGCCATTTCACTCATGGATTGGTCGAAGCGTTTTGGTCCGCCTAAAAATTTGATTTCCGATCAAGGAAGCCATTTCAAGAACCAGGTTGTACAGCAACTTTGCAAACAGCTCTCCATTGAACAGGATCTAGTTCTAGCCTACGCTCCGTGGATCAACGGTACTATCGAGCGACTGAATCGAGATGTGCTGCAAGTTCTACGTGTTCTGCTGATGGAGATGAAGCTGGACACGCATGAGTGGGAATATCTCGTTCCGGTAGTGCAAGGGATTCTAAATCACACTCCAGTGGCTTCATTAGGCAACCGGTCCCCTGGTGAGCTTTTCACCGCGTTACCTAGACCTACACCATTTGAGACTATCGTAGTTGAGCGCAACGGCAAGGCCATGATGGTGACTGAGCCGGTGACTATTCCTGACGAAATGGTGGAGAACATGCAGCGAAGTCTACATGAAATGCACAAGGAGGTGGTGGACATTCGGGAGCGACGTCGGTTGCAGAACATGAGCCGCTCTAATGGAGTACCATGCAATTTCACTATCGGTGATTTCGTACTGTGGTCAGGGATCGACTCTCGCCTTTCGGTAAACAAACTACTCGCTCGCTGGGTGGGACCATTCGAAGTTGTCGAGGAGCACCCTCATTCCTATATGATTCGCCACTTGGTGAGTAGCCAACGCTACATGGTGCATGGATCCCGGCTCAAGTTCTACCGTGACGGAAGCCTGGGCACCAGCGAGGAACTCCTGGCCCATGTCGGCAACCAAGGTATGGTCCTTGGTGTCGAAGATTTTAAGGATCACCGCAAGACCCAACATGGATGGCAGCTTCTCGTCTCCTGGGTCGGTTTGCAGGACGAAGAAGACTCCTGGGAATCTCTTCAGAGTCTCTACAGTGATATACCTACGCGTGTGAAGAATTACGCAGCTCAAAGTGGCGACAACGAGTTTGTACAGTCCCTGTCGACCTTTCAGCAAAATACCAGAGCCTAATTCGACGTGTAGGTCAAGTTATGGAGCAACTTTAACGTGTTGCAGTGCAACTTGACCTGTAACACTGCCCCGTCTCATGTATGGACTGTTTTTTCGCAACCGGTGACAGATTTCCATCAGTCGTGACATTTGGTGACATATGTCTTTCTGACTTGGATTTTCTATACTTGGAGAATTTTCAAGACAAGAGGCTCAACATTCATATCTGCATATCAAGACGGTACTGGTATGGGTTCTTCGGGGGCAGTGTAGTGTGTGGCAAGCAAGGAGGCGTACCTCAACGGCAAGTAGGCTATCCTGAATCAAGAACCCCATCCCAAACTACAGCGTCGTCTATCAACATGAGGTTGCAGTCTTACTGCAACCCTGGTGCTCGACTCTCAAGGCTGTGCCTAGGGTGAAGCCTTTGGTCCTGATAGGAGTAGGAGGAGTCGAGTAGAACGCAGGAGCACGAGTTAGTCAAAAGGAAGCTCACTTCTTAACTTGCAATCAACAAGCACCAGCATTTCAGCAACGCAAAGCGGTAACTACCACACGCTGCCGACGTCAAGTCGGTCAAGAAGGAGAGCAAGACGGAGTCAAAGGCGTCGAAGGAGACCAAGTCGGACGCCACCGACAAGTCGAACGACAAGTAAAATCAAGCTGAAACCGTGTGAGAAAAGTAGTATATGGGTGAAAGACGTTGTAAGCCCGCGTTGAACTGTGTAGCGTAGAAAACTAAAGTGACAGGTGTAAGGAATACAATGCCAATGGATGTGATCGCTTTACCATGTTAAAGTGACATGTGTCCCCGAATTATCAGTTGCTAAAGTCGTTTGCGATGTGGATCCATGCTCCGATTGCAGCAGCGGTAGAGTAGAATCTAACGATATAGAGTAGAAACCAAGAATTACAGCACGCGGACGTGCAATCACTGTCAATCTGCATGAGTTTGCAAAACAAACCTTGTGCCATCAACAAGAAGACTCATCA